GGTATGATGCAAGTGCAGAATAAGATTCTCAATGATGCAATTTTGAAGGTTTGTCCCGATGAATTCACATATGTTCTTAATTAGTGGGTTATGTCAAGGTGGTGAAATGGATCGTGCTCTGGCTACCTTTAAGGAGGCTGCAAGAAAAGGATCGAAGCGTAGTATTGTTTTGTACAACACTTTGATCAAAGGGTTATGTAAGCAGGGATTTGTTTTGGAAGCGTTGCAGTTGATGAATGAAATGTCAGAAAATGGTTGCAATCGTGACATATGGACTTACAACATTATCATAAATGGAATGTGCAAGATGGGCTGTGTGCATGATGCAAATAAGCTCATGAATATTGCAATTTCCAAGGGCTACCTCCCTGATATATTTACTTTTAATACTTTGATTGATGGGTATTGCAAGCAGTTGAAATTGGATAATGCAATAGATGTTGTAAATAGAATGTGGAGTGAGGGTGTATCTCCTGATGTAATCACATACAACTCTGTTCTGAATGGCCTCTGCAAGGCTGCCAAGTTTGATGATGTAATGGAAACTTTTAATGCAATGATGGGGAAGGAATGTGTTCCAAACTTAGTTACATACAACATACTTCTGGAGAGCCTATGCAAAGCTCGAAAGGTTAATGAAGCCCTGAACTTGCTCAAGGAGATAGAAAATAAGGGCTTGACTCCAGATTCTGTTAGTTTGGGCACATTGATTGATGGGCTTTACAATAACGGGGACTTGGATGGAGGTTACCTGCTTTTTAGAAGAATGGAATCGGAATACAAGATTTCTCATACAACAGCAACATACAATATCATGATTAGTGCATTTTCTGAGAAGCTAGATATAAATATGGCTGAAAAGCTTTTCCAAGAGATGCATGATTGTGGGTGTGCACCAGATACTTACACTTACCGTGTCATAATTGATGGCTTTTGCAAAACATGCAACTTTGATTCTGCTTACAAATTTCTCTTGGAAATGATAAAAAATGGGTTTATTCCATCTCTTACAACATTTGGGCGGGTAATTAACTGTCTGTGCATTGAGCATAGAGTTCCTGAGGCTGTTTGTATCATCCACCTGATGGTGCACAAGGGTATCGTCCCTGATGTTGTGAACACAATTTTTGAGGCTCACAAGAGGGAGATAGCAGCTCCTAAGATAGTTGTGGAAGACTTGCTGAAGAAAAGTTGTATAACTTATTATGCCTATGAACTCTTATATGATGGTATTAGAGATAAAAAGCTACTAAAGAAAAAGATACTTGGTGATAACATAATGGTATAATTCAATCATGCAAGGCTTTTGTACATTGTTACTTTATTTGCATTTGGGAAGAAAATTATAATGTCATGATCTGTGCTTTTATGGAGATATCCGCAGGATGCAAACTCCTTCAAGCACAGTACTGGTAGATCATGGGCTGCACATGGCATGCAAAAGGAACTTCCAGGGTGTCCAGTATTCTGATGTCTCATCAATCACTCTTTTTTTCTTTGTTATCTTTCTTTGGAAGCAAAATCCTTTTATGGGTGTCACCATATTAATAAGGGTCTGCAAAGAGGCATGCAACTAGCAAAAGCGCATGACTTTGGTGAGCGTTTGTTTTTGGGCATTGATTTCTGGTTTCTGTTGAATCTCTTTTACAGAGATGGTCACATAACATTTTAGTCTTTGAGAGCTACTAAGTAGCCTCCTTTCTACTACTAATCATTTACTGCATACTATTTTCAGCTTTATGCTTTTTCATAATATGACCTGGCGGAAAAGAAAGTCGGCGGTGGGCAGTACTGTTGAAAGTGCTCTGCAAAAATATTTGGGTATTTCCTGATGGAATTTTCCCAAGGGCTTCAGGTGCTGTCCTATTACCAAAACTTGCAAACTCATGAGATCAGATAGGATGCCGAACTAAGATCAAATTACTCAAGGTTGTGGGAGTGAGTCCAAAATCTCAAAGACAAGTCCTTTCTGCAACCCAATTATGTTAATGGGTATTTTTGGCAGTAAGAAAAAGCCCTTTGTGTCTGTTTCATACTTTTCACAGATTTATTTATCAAACTGACTGTTGTTATGAATAGTTACTTACAGAATGGAGGTGTATCTTTTCTTCCAATGAAAGAGCTTAATAGTAAGTTGGTTGCATTTTGTTCCAGGCTGTATGCTTCAGAGCATTAAATGATTGTGCCGAACAGAAATGACATCAATAGAGGAACACCAGCTGAACTAAGATCCTGGTTCTCTCATGCAAGCACATTTCAATTAAACGAGAAGCAGATCTGTTGTAACAATATTTGGGAAGAAGATGATATGTACATATAACAATATAATATATTTTCATAGAAAATTGTTGGTGTTTTGCTCCCCTTACAGTGTGTTTGGATGAAAGTTTATTAATGTATTATATGATTTTTTGATGGGTTTTTGGATCCACTTCCAAACACATGATATAGTTTTTGATGGTTTATGCATAGTTTTTCAAACAATCTTTTTCTCATTTTTTTCAAACCACCGAATCAGTGGTTTTTTGGTGTAAAACTTTTTCCTTCCATTTATACCCTCACGAATTTTTTTAATCCCATTTTTGTCCTTGATTATATGTATAAAAAATTAAATATCTCCTCCTCATCTTCCAGGTTTTCTTCTCCTCCCCCTCCAGCTTTTCTTCTCCTCTTGTAGGTTTTCTTCTCCTTCTCCTCCAAGCCATGTCTCTCCCTCCTTGACGCTGCCCACCGGTGAAAACCAAGGCTTTCTTTGGTGGTTGCTAATTTCAGTTAGAAAGGTAAGCCTCTATTATATTTTCTTTTCATTTTTCAAAATGTTCTTGCTTCGGTCATCGAGCTGATCAGAGATGGGTCTTTTTCTGGTTCTTAATTTATGTTACTCCTTTTTTTATCTTTTTCTGGTTCTTGCTTTGGAAAATTAGTTTTACAACTAGAAAATTTCTGGGCTTTGTTTATGACTCATGTTAGTGACAATGAAATGCTTCTTCCTTAGTTTTGTTTATGACTCATGTTATTTGCTTCAATTTTGAAAAGACTGTTGTAAAATACTGAGTTGATGATTACTGTTTGAAGTTTTCAAGTAACTGTTAACTTTTGAATGATGATCTGCATCCATCTTTTAACAATTATTTTGGTGTGTCGTATCTTATCTCAAACAGCTGGATTTTGCAGTGTTTAGTCTAGGAATGAACTTGGTTGATCATTGTAACCTAAGCTTGCTTGGAGGTTTTAGCTACATTGAACCCAATATATGGCTTATTGGTATTTTGTTCCATAGATCAGCCTAGCTTAGCACTAATGTTTTGCTCCTAGATGGCAGAAGTTCAAGTTGATAAAATTTGTTTTTGTTTGCTACTTTGAGTTGTGAACCAACTGTTGCAGTTCAATATTCATTTCTTTTTTAACTTCTGTAACTGTAACTCTGTTTTCAGGGCATCTGAATTGTTTATTATCTTAAACAGTAGACCTATGAAACTGTGTTATCTTAATGGAATCACATAAAATTTCTTAGTTTTTGTGTAATTGTTTATTTTTCTGTTGCTCGTGAATGATTCAAAGGCTTTATCCTTGGGGTTTTTAGGTATCTTCCTTTTGATCTCCTCCTTATATTGAAAGGGTCATAGAAGATGAATCCAGCTGTAGAAATACTTGTTTTGCTTATACATATAACAGCTATATGTGCTTGACTATACTGCTGCTTAACAATAGCAAACAATGAGACCCTCTTCCCATGTCGATTAATGGTCTTTATATGACTATACGCTTACTCATATAGGAGCATAGTACTTTTGAAACTTTCTGCTATTTAATATGATTGCATCCACATTTGCAGTTTTTATGTTTATTTAAACTATTCAACCATTTCCATGGGTGTTAAGGTGGGCATAACCATTTCCATGGGTTTATTTAAACTGCTCGATATGATTTAAGTTCTTGGAATTAGCTGTGAGATGGATATGTCTTTTTATCTCTCCAATTTTAAAAATATTTTCCACTTATTTATCTTAAAAAGAATTAGCTGTGAAGGAATGGTTTTGCTGGGTCACAGAAATTAATTCCTGTGTAGGGAAAATGTTCTTTAGGTGGTATTTTTGTAGGATCTTTAAATGTAAAGACTTATTGTAATGAATGTCAAATAAGAAAATATCCAAGCAGAAAAGACCATAATGAAAAGATAAAATGAAGGCAGTTTCTTTCTCCTTTGCTTTCTCTAGTGGCTCTTCCTTCCATTCCCATTTTATGACTGTCCTTTCTGGATATAATGAAGCGATCTGCTTTTTTTTTTACCTGTTATATTTTAGTAGCATGCAGCTTTTCTTAACCATAGTTGATTAAATCTTAACCATATTTGTATCTTATTTCAGATGGATCATAGGGAAAGGGTAATTGTTTTAGTAGGGTGCCTTTTCATGCTTGTTATGATTAATGTCCATAAAAGGAGAAAGATTAGGCTTACTCATGAATAACACTAGAGAGAGAGAAAGTGCGAGATAAGCTTATGAAAAATTTGGTTGTAAATGAGTTTTGTCGGCACATCATTAGGATAAGAGCTCCGACCTTTATGAATTTATGTCATTTACTAATTATAGATGATGGATTTAGGCCCACCATTCATGTAACTGTGGAGGAATGAGTTGCTAAAAATTACAATTGTTCATGTTTCAGCAAGCTAACTGTATCAAGATGTTGCTCATTTGGGTTTCGAGGTAGATCAAGAAACACATGCTTATATTGTTCATATGGGCAAACCAAACATGGCTATTGCTTTCATGAATTGCCTTCTTGAACGGTGTAAGAGTTTCATACAGAATTTGTTTTGTTTATCAAGTAATCACTTATATTAAATCTCAATTTCGATATAAAAACTTGTTAATTTGTAATTTTTAATTTTTTTAATTTTCAGATAATTAAAAACAATGGCTGTTGTTGACGAAGTGCAAGACTTTAGTATGAATTTAGGAAGTTGAAAAAATTATGTTGCATGATGTATGCTGCTGCTTTATGTGGTCAGTTGGTGTTTATCATCATAATTAACATGTAATTAGGAAAGTTGATGAATCTTATTATTTTGGACTAATTTGTTATTTAGAGTGATTAATGTATATTGAATTTGTTGTAAAGATTCGAAACTTAAAAATAAACAAAGTCATAAATTAAGTGCGGAAGCGAAATAATATAATTTAGGGTTTACATTCCTTACACAATAATTTAGAGTTCATAAATTAGAACTATGAGAATGATCTTTCCAAAAGAACAAATAAAAATTAAAGAAATAAATAAAAGACAATATGTTGAGTATTCTATGACAACTTTCACTAACTTTTGAAGGGATTCCGGGTAGTGAACTATTCATAACCCTTTATCGGGATTTAGGTCTTGATCCTCTTGATCTGAAATAGTTAATGAAATAGTGAGGTAACTAACCCAGTAAGAATATCATACTACTCACTGATATAAAAAATGAAGGTTGGTAAAAATCATAAAAACAACTAATAAAGTTCTTGATTTAAATAAATTCATTTATTATAAAGAAAATCATTTATTACATATATTTACTGTTGTAAGATTTTCAAAATTGATCTATATAGACAATAACTCAAATAACATTTCAATATTATTTTCAAGTGAACAATAACAATTACTTTTCCTTTTTATTTACCTACTACTATCTTTGGGGGCCCATAAAGATGTCATACTACGTGTGAATTAATATTCAACATTGTCAACTAACCGGTCGTTCCCATATTTCGTCCGGTATGAGCGCCAAAAATACCATCGCTTAATACCTCGTCCAGTATGAGGGTGAATCGGTTTGTCTCCATACTCCGTCCGGTATGAACGCCAAAAATATCGTTCCTCGATACCTCATCCGGTATGAGGCAATGTTCACGATAGAGTTCTTTATGTACCCAGTCCGTTCACTATATCCCAAAATATTCAGTAAGGGTACCATTCATTAATTCACATGACTAAATAATTTTACGTTTGCATATTAATTTTCAACTTAACAATCAATCGTAAATCATGCAAGATAAGCAATATATACATCAAGAAAATACAATTGAATCATTTAACCATTTCAGTATATTATCATGTATTTAAAGATGTAAATTCAATAATTAATTACATAAGATAACAAATAAATGACTAACCAGTTTCGGCTCCATTAGAAACTTGTAAGTATTCTCAAAGTTTTTTAATTTACACAAAATACTATATTATCGATTATTAAGCTTCAATTCCATAACAGAAAATAAGCTGAGAGATTCTTACTTGAATCGATATTCAAAACACGGAACTTTCCACTGCGCTTATTGGCGGTCTCCAAGTTTCCTGAATTTTCTTGTGGAGATTAAAACATGCTTCTCGTACCTAAAAATACCCAAAAAATTCAAAATCAGTATTAAAAATCTTTTCCAACTAATTTCAAAATTCTAGCACGACGGCACTGTCGTGCTCTGGCGACGGCATCGCTGCCCGCGGCGGCGGTTTGCCTCAGCCTAACCGTTTTCGGTCAATTTTCATCGATTTCGGTCGGTTTTATACACATCCCTGTAAGAAAACACATTATGGGGCTTTGGTTAGGTAAAAAAAGTTAAAAAAACAGAAACCTACCTGCGGCAAAAATTTTTGGTGCGACGACTCTGCCGGCTCACCTTCATGGTTGGGCGTTTTTCTCTGGTCAACCTGTAAAAAGCAAAACGGTAAACACAATGGTGGAAAAATCGCATGAAATAGGAAACGAGAAGGGGCTCATCGAATGAGGTTTTAGGTTTTTTCTGCGGCGGTGTCGCCTGCAATTTTCGGCTTATCCGCCGTTTCTTTTGTTCTGATTTGGCTATGGGGGTGTTCAGAATCAAATTCCGAGTGGATAAGAGAATTTTTATCTTTTTTGGCGGTCAAATGTGGCTCCAGTGCGGCGGCGGGCGGCTCCCTTCTCCGACGATTAGTTCTTCTTATTTGGTAGGAGGCTGATGCTTAGGATTTGGGTTCGGTGTGATGCGAAATATTTATACCCGTCTCGCGTAAATGTAGACCGTTCATCACGTTTGATCTCGATCATCCGATCGCGTTTAAAGAGAAAATAAATCTGAACCGTTCATCACGTTTGATCTCGATCATCCGATCGCGTTTAAAGAGAAAATAAATCTGAACCGTTCATCGCAATTCGATATCGACTGTCTGATCGCGTTTAAATATAGGACGAATCTGAGTCATTCATCACGTTTAATCTCGACTATCGATCGGGTTTGGGGAGGGAACGGATCCGGATCGTCCATGCGCACGGGAACGCTTCTTGGTCGTCCGATCGCAGTGATCGCACGTAGCACCAAGTCAGCGTGTCTTGTCACGCGGCGCGTTTCGGTTCGTCGAGGCTACTGACTGGGCAGCCATACGTGGCACAATTTTTCTTAATTGCATTTAAACCTCTAGTTTCCAATTTTTCTTTCAAAAATATCATCTAAACTTAAATTTTCACATATTTTTTTCAAAATTATTTTCAATTTTGTCCTTAACCTATTTTTTTCATAATTCCACATTAAATTAAATTTTATTAATTAAATTTTTATACATTTTTTTAAAATTTTAAAATTAATCTCGAGCCAAATTCCTAAACCTGATATTACATTTGTAATTGGAGTAATTTAACGGGGGGTTATATTTTCAAAGTTATGATATTCTTTGGACTATACATTTAAAAAAAAAAAATTTAATCAGGTATATATTAAAAAAAAAAAGATGATTGAAATAGGTAGTTTGATTAAATATACATAATTATTTAATTATTTGAAAATTAAAAAAAAAACTAAAAATTAATCATAATGAACTTAATAAAATTTATTTATTTATTTTATTTAAATCATAAAAATAATAATAATAAATATTATGTAATAATTAAGTTTTAATTTTTTTAATTTATAATCATAAATAAAAATTGTATTTTCAAAGTATCTTTTTATATTAATTATTAAAAAATTAAATTTATATTTCTCATAATAATTTTTTTTTTGCTATTTTTAAAAAAAATATTAAAAATTATAATTTAAATAATTTTAAAAATTAAATGAATGAATTATTGGTTAAATAAATTTTTTTTTTATTTTTTTATTTATTATTACATACAATAACACATAAATAAAATAAATAATTTATTCAAATATACAATAATACCATACTATCAATTTAAATAAAAATAATTATTATTAATATATAATCTTTCCAATATCAAATAACCACAGTAAAATTCATCCAAACTCATCCTAGTCAGTATAATGGATAACATCAATGGGCATTTGTCTACCTCTAGCCTTAATTTAATCTCCATATCAGTTCATTCTCAAAAAAATTTCAAAATAACCTTATTTTATTTTTTTGTAAAATTAAAACTTGGTGTACCCAATAAAAATAAATCTGAAACCTTGATGTCATACTGAATCGGCCAGAATAATTTGGTCCTGCTCCTGCATGGGTAAGTCAATCATGAGCTGCTATATTCTAGATTATTATTCCATGGGAATTTATATTACAAGTTTGAAACTCATCTTACCATGTTCTTATAAGCAACAAAAAATTATGAACAAGGGATTAAAAGGATGCACAAGTGACTACCATCTAAATCCAAATCTGCTAAGAACTGGAATCATTAATGTCTACCAAATATTTCTTCATATACACGTTTGCAGCACCAAGGTAAATTTCATGGGGCTTTGTCTGGATTAGGAAACAATAAGTTAAGCTCCCCAATATTTTACACAAAACTCCAACCAGGTTCTTTCTTAAGCCCACCTCCCTTCATCCTGTCTCTGATCTCCTTAACATCCTCCCACTTGCCTATATTTGCATATATGTTTGACAACGAGACATAAGCTCCAGCCTCACATGGCTCCAGCTCAATAACTTTTTCTGCGGCTAGTTTTCCAAGCTCAGCATCCCCATGCACTTTACAAGCAGCAAGCAGCGTTCCCCAGACCAAAGCATTAGGTTCAATAGGCATATTCCTTATAAAATTTTCAGCCTCTTTCAATCTCCCTGAACGACCAAGAAGATCAACCATACAGGCATAGTGCCGGTAGCTAGGCTCGATTCCATAGTCTTTACTCATTGAATTAAGATGGGAATATCCTGCTTCAACCAAACCACTATGGCTGCAAGCAGATAAAACCCCAACAAAAGTCACCGAATCAGGTCTGATTCCATCTTTCCTCATAAGATCGTAAACTCTTAAAGCTTCCACACCTTTTCCATGCTCAGCATAGCTAGCAATAATTGCTGTCCAAGCTACCAAATCAGGTTCATCAATCTGACCAAATGCTCTATGACAATATTCAATGCTTCCACATTTAGAATACATCGTAGCAAGCGAACTTCCGACAGAAGCTTCTGTATCTAAGCCCATCTTTATGATGTGTGCATGAATTTGAATCCCAACGCCTGATCTATTTGAAAGTGCAACGGCCCCAAGAAGAGATGAAAATATGAAAGAATCTACAGCCAATTCAGACAACAGCATCTCATGGAACAGCAAGACAGCCTCTTTGACTAATCCACTTTTAGCATACCCCGAAACCAAAGAAGAGCAGGCAACCTTATTTTTTTCAGGAAGCATATCAAACATCTTCCTTGCCAATTCCAGGTCATTGCATTTTGAGTACATATTGACAAGTGCAGAACCAACTTCATCTTCTTCAGCAATTCCTGCATGAAGAGCATATGCATGTATTTCCTTACCTTTTTGTAAAGATTGAAGAGCAGAACTTGCAGTAAGCACAGCTGTCAGAGTTGTTTGGTCAGGGTTTGTTCCCTCACACAACATGTCACTAAACAATTGAAGAGCTCGGTATGCACAGCCATGTTCTGCAAAGCCAGCAATCATTGAGGTCCATGACACATTGTCTCTGTCTACAGCAGAAATCTGCTCAAACACTTTATAAGAGTCCTCTAAGCTACCACATTTAGAGTACATAGTGAAAAGAGCACTATTAACAGAAAGATTCATGTGAAAACCAGTTTTAAGAGCATAACTGTGGATTTGTCTTCCCAAATTCGAACAGTCTATAATGCTTAAGAAGCTAGAAATACAGAACATATAAGGGCTCAGACCCTTCTGAAGCATTCTTTGAAATAATTCAACTGCGCTTTGAAATCTATGACTCTGAACAAAAGAAGATAGCATCACAGCCCATGTATCTGGATGCTGCAAATGCTCAACATCTTTAAACACCATCTCAGAGAAATCAATAACTCCTATTTTTGAATACATATTAATCAAGGCAGCAGCTACTACAGAATCTGTATAAACCCCAGTTTTCAAAATCCAGGAATGGAGTTGAATTGCCTCATAGAACGTATGTGGGTTAGAACAAGCACTGATTACGCTAGTCACAGTATAGTCGTTTATTTCCACCCTTAACTTTCTCATTTCTTTGAAAGTTTTGAGGGCAGTGGTTGAATCATCCTTCTTTACAAAACCAGATATAAGAGCAGTCCAAGAAACTACATTGCGGTCAGGAAGCCGGGCAAATTCCTTTGCAGCTTCATTCATTTCTCCACGTTTTGCATATAAATCAACAATAGCAGTCCCCACAAAGATATCTCTAGCTGAGCATTTGATGACCAATCCTTGAACACCTTTTCCAGTCTCAAGCTCTTCAAGTGTGGCACAAGCAGTCAAAATACTAGAAAATGTAAAACTATTAGGTGGGATAAACCTACTATGCATCTCATGAAAAAGATTTATTGCAACCCAATTCTCTCCATTCCTAACAGCTCCAGACATAATAGCATTCCAGCAAACCACATTGTCACATGAAGAGACATCACAAAACACCATTAAAGCATCTTCAAAGCTGGAGTTCTTTGCAAACAAATCTATCATTCCAGACCGAACATAATCATTTGAATAAAACCCGTTTTTCAGAGAAAGTGAGTAAACAAGCTTACCAAGAACAGGACACTTCAAAGCAGTACAAGCTGAAAGAACACTTCCGTAGGTGAACTCATTAGGCTCAAAACCCAAAAGCCGCATCTTGCTAAAAACACTCCATGAATGTCCAAACAAATTGTTTCGATTGTAACCAGAAATCGTGGTGTTCCAAGATATAACATTTGGTTGAGAAATTGTATCAAACAGTTTGCCTGCATCGACAACTGAAGCAGATTTAAAGTACCAATCCAGTAAATAATTTGTATAAAACATATCTGATTGCAAGTCAGCTCCTTTGAGTAAACAAGCATGTAATGATTTGGCATTTCTGAGCGTATAATGCATCGTTTTTGTGCAATCATTAACGAACTGAAAAGGGTCAAAAGGAGTGAGATTTTGCTCATTTTTAACGATATTATTCGATGAATTTTCAGCAACGGCGAGAGAGAATATGAATTTGCGACCAACAGAGAAAACTTTACTTGGAATACCTTGACTGACCAGTGAATTCATTCTTAATCCATCGAAGATGCAGAAAGAATTATAAAGCGCGGGAGATATAATTAATAAAAGAGTGACAACATCCCGAACACGCAAACGTCAAGATGGCCGAGTTGGTCTAAGGCGCCAGTTTCAGGTACTGGTCCGAAAGGGCATGGGTTCGAATCCCATTCTTGACATAATTACTTTTTTTTGGTTTTTGACGACGTTATAGACGTGGAAAAGAAGCAAGATAGTTGACCTTCTGAAAAATGAGACATATATAAAAATCTGAAGATAAAATAGAGCAGCATATTTATAATTTTCCATTGAAAACTTGCAGAGCAAACAGAGAGATCTGAGAAGAAGATGAGTGAAGAAAACAAACTGATACTACACGGAACATGGAGTAGCCCTTATTATAAGACGGTGGAATTAGCTCTGAAACTCAAGGGTATACCCTTTGAATATGTAGAAGAAGATTTGAAGAACAAAAGCCAGAAAATCCTCACTTACAATCCTGTCTACAAGAAGATCCCAGTTCTTGTTCACACCGGCAAACCCATTTCAGAATCCCTTGTCATCGTTGAATACGTCGATGAAACTTGGAAAAATGGTCCTCCCCTCCTCCCCCAAAATCCCTACTCAAGAGCTCAAGTTCGCTTCTGGGTCAGCTTCATCCGAGATCAGGTTAAGTTGAAATTCTTGCTTAATTCAATTGGGTTTTTGATTAAGCTCTTGAAATGACTAATTGATGGTTTTACTGTTTCTGATATTGCAGCTTTATAAGACTATGTTTGCAGTAATCCAGACCCAAGGAGAAGAACAAGAGAAAGCTGTTGAGGAGTTATTGGAGAAACTTGGAGTTCTTGAGGATGGATTGAAAGAGTTTTTCCCAAATATTGGCAACTTATCGTTTGGAAATGGCAAACCCATTTCAGAATCCCTTGTCATCCCAGTTCTTGTTCACACCGGCAAACCCATTTCAGAATCCCTTGTCATCGTTGAATACGTCGATGAAACTTGGAAAAATGGTCCTCCCCTCCTCCCCCAAAATCCCTACTCAAGAGCTCAAGTTCGCTTCTGGGTCAGCTTCATCCGAGATCAGGTTAAGTTGAAATTCTTGCTTAATTCAATTGGGTTTTTGATTAAGCTCTTGAAATGACTAATTGATGGTTTTACTGTTTCTGATATTGCAGCTTTATAAGACTATGTTTGCAGTAATCCAGACCCAAGGAGAAGAACAAGAGAAAGCTGTTGAGGAGTTATTGGAGAAACTTGGAGTTCTTGAGGATGGATTGAAAGAGTTTTTCCCAAATATTGGCAACTTATCGTTTGGAAATGGCGATATGGGATTGCTTGATATTGCAATGGGTGTAGTATTTGGTCCTTACAGGGTTCAAGAACAAGTGGCTGGTGTCAAAATAATAGATCCTGATAAAACTCCATTGATATTTTCTTGGCTGAATGCTATAAGCAAGCACCCTGTGGTAGTTGATTCAACTCCTCCCCTTGACAAGATGGTGGCAATGCTCAAGATTTTCAGGCAAAATGCTCTTAGCTCTTCAGCAACTTGAGCTTAATCATGGTGTTATTTTATGCTTGAACATGATCATATCGACTTGGTTTCATTATATATATTATCATGTATTAATAAGAGCAGAAAGTTCTCCCAGAAGTTTTGCTGCTTGTGGATTTTACGGTTTGATTCCACTAATTAAGAAATAATTAGAAATAATCGGATCTGGAATCCTGTTATCTCGAAAGCTATAACCCATATATTTATTGAGAACACACAATTTGTACGTGCTTTGAAAGAAAAAAACACAATTTATGTCCATTAACTTGAAGTATACCTATTAAATTATAATAACAATATAAAAGATATCGTTTAACTTGTTTTCCAATTTGAGTATCCATAAAACTTTCTTTATGATGGGCAATTGTTCTTATTCAAAACAAGAAAATTTTCTATATCTATTACATGCTTTTAAAGTTGGGATAATGCTAATTTATTTCCTTTTACTTACAATATTGGTAGTTATATTTTCTGTATTTATTATCCGCATTTATATGTCTGAAAAGTCCTCTTGTTATTCATAGCTTTCATTTTCAACAACTTATATGATTTCTGATTTTGTGCAAGAAGATGAAAATTTTGAACTCAAACCAGAAATATGTTAGGTAGATTGCCAAGTTATAAATTACACATGGCTAACTTCTTAAATACTACTATTGTTATGTAGAGCACCATAAAATATTATATAATTATTTCCAACATATTATGATATATCAGTCAGAAGACTAATACTTAATAAACTGTAAGTTAAACTTACTCTGCAAGTTCAACAGCAGGGTTTAGATTAATAGCTTATATGCTTCTCGTGGGTAAATCTTTGAAAAAAGAAAATGCTTTTCGTGAGTGCCAAATGTTTCGTTCAAACTTGGAAGTAGTCCAAATTTATCCGAAAACTTAAATTATTATTACTTTGACTAACAAACAATTTCGTTTTTTGAAAAAATTCTCAAAAAGAAAAAGACTCTCCAACAAAGTCAAATTCCTAAAGTCTATGTAGAGAGATAAATTAACAAGACCACAAATATGAAATACACATAGCAACTTGAGAGGGAGAGAGAGATATGGAGGAGAATCAAGTGAAGCTACTAGGGATGTGGGCTAGTACTTACTCTAAGAGAGTGGAATTAGCACTTAGAATCTAAGGCATATCCTATGAGTATATAGAAGAAGATTTGAGAAACAAGAGCCATTTGCTTCTCCAGTACAATCCTGTCCACAAGAAGGTTCCTGTGCTGGTTCACAATGGGAAACCCATAGCTGAATCATACATCATTCTTGAATATATAGATGAAACCTGGAAAAACCCTCCTCTCCTACTCCCTACGAACCCTTATGCTAGAGCTGTTCTGGACCAGCTTTATCCAAGAGGTACACAATTTAAATGCCACTCTTGCTTATATGTACTCCTTATTCATGTAGTCAAGTTAATACTATCTTCAATTTCTTTAACCTATTTTGAAGAAAAAAAAAACCTATCTTCAATCTCTATAACTGCATCTGTAGATGTTTGAACCCATGGGTCGAGTAGTAATAAGTGATGGCGCAGCTCAAGCAAAAGCATTGGAGGAAGCAAGTGAGAAAATGAAGATGAGGGACTCAAAGAGTTCTGCCCAGAAGGCACACCTAAAATTGACAAGGAAAATTTTGGACTTCTTGACATTATACTGTGTGCAACATTCAGCATCCATGACGCTTATGACAGCTGTTGGTGCGAAAATTTTGGACCCAGAAAAGCATCCACTGATACACTCCTGGGTCTCAACTCTGAAGGAGATGCCCGTGGTCAAAGACATAACTCCACCTCATGACAAACTGGTTGAGCTACTTCTAACTCTCAGACGTAATTACACAAAAGCTTCTAATTAATATGCCTCCAGTTGCTCACTAAAATGCTTAAATGATGTCATGATATCACTTTGGATTCTATATAATTCCTCAATAAGAGCAGCAACCATTATCAATCTATTACTGTAACACACCTTTTGGTGCTCTTTTTTTCAAACTACATAATGGCAATAGCACAGCCTTCAAATTTTATAGGTCTAGTACACCATCTAATAAAAACTAACTCCATAGATAACGATAATTTGGATCTACGAGCCGCCGTTCATTTGATTCCCTCCGGAGAGGGTTCTCTAGGTAGGGGGATCCATTCTCATTGGGGAGATAACCACAAGGTGTTAAACAATATCAAAAAAACAGTAATTAAACTACCAGTCGAAGTAAAAGTAGCATAACATAAAACAAATGCCCGAGCATTGTTAAACAACCTCACAAGAATAACATCAACCACAATTCATAATAAAATTCTAAAAGTCAAAATTTCATTCAACCTAAAGCTAAGATATAAGAGTTTCTCTCTCACTTTGATGTCTCCTTTTCTTTTGTCTTCCGGAGCTTCAAAACTTTCTTCACAATCTTCTGCTCTTCCACCAGAAAAGCTCGGATAATCCTATCAAGTTATTAAAAAAAAAATTGACATTCTCAAAGATATCTACAGAACTTTTAAAATATTTCGATCTCAATCACAATATCAAGTTCTTATGTTAAGAAAATTTTAAGGGGGGGGAAAATAGTATGCAGAAACAAACCTTTCCCTGACAGCTCCTCCAGATAATACTCCACCATAGGCACGGTTCACGGTTCTCCTATTTCTAGGTAGTCTAGACCTCTTGTATTCCGCAGGTCTCAAATGAGGAATCTGTAGTAAAGGAAAAATTCAATGAGAACTCTAAGCAGTCACCATATTGCAAAGATGTAATGCAAAATAGTATACTTTTTATGAGAATTGAGAAACTGCAGTGGTCAACTATGAAAAAAACTACTGAAACTAAGGTAACTTACTACTTCCAACTTTAACATGTCCAACAATAATTTGCATTTTGGAGAGAGAGTTTTGAACAATATAAAGACAACTGACTGTAAATTTCTAGAAGAATATAAATGGAAACAGATGATGCTCATCAAAGGAAAAGCATTTGAAGCCATAAAGTCTTATCGCAAACTCTAAAAAATACAAATATATATATCTTGATTTCCTCTATAATAAAAAGTTGATGCCTCCAAAACAAACTCAATTTCGCAGTCCTTAATTTCAGCCATAACCCATAGTGGCAACACATATGCATATGCTAACACAAACATATCATCATGCTTAACTGCAACACTTCATGAAACCATGAGTTATACTCTGTACAATCATCAAAACATGATCAGGAAGGAGGTCAGAATTAATCTTAAGTGAATTACACAAAAGCCCATACATGGAGATACTTCTAAAATATGATGTCAGACGGAGGACATACATGTTAAACATTCACTAGGGATAGCATGAACAAAGAATTCAAAACATACCCCCTGGATTCTTTTCCCAGTTACAGGACACTTGGGTCCACTGGCTCTCTTCTTTGTGCTCTGGTACACAAGCCTCCCACCTAAATTTCAAAAGTAATGAGCAAATCATTGTAAAACCATTACGAGTACCTTATGTGACAATAATGTACATTTAGAACAAAAGAAAACATACTATAAGTAGCAGAAAACAAGACATAAACCCAGAAACCCGAAACAGTCCCTTTCTTCACTACTGTAAACAGAGTTTTGAAAGCTACAATTGAAGTAAGAATACAACACAGGGAAGAGACGTTTCAAAGCCATCCCACTTGTGATACTAGGCAATGCGGCTAGCTTTAAATTTTAGGATTCAAGATTATTCAACCATTTTCCGTATTTATAATATTTAATTAAATATGTCAATTTTTCTCAGTAATATCCTCTATCGTTATCTAATCTTATAAAGAGAGGGACTTGCCGGTTCCATGCCTTTACAGGCTTCCATTACCCAATCAAGAACGAAAAGTTTCTGCTAAAACTAAAAAACAGCCCAGGCAACAGAAATTCAATAAGGAAATCTAGTACAAACGTCAATAGAAAAATCAGCATCCAAATCCACATATCTAAACAGGGCAACTAAATATCATTTCACTTTATTCAAGTTGCAGATTGACATATACTAGGAATACATGTATAAGCAGGTCAGAGCAATACCAGGGGTCTTGACGACACGATGCTGATTGGATTTTGTAGCGTAGCCGTGACGCGTGCGGTATGTGAGACGCTGGACCATTTTGCCGATCTCTCTCTCTCACCCTTCCCTGCGTCTGTGGAGGAGGCAAGGGTTTCGGTTGTGTCCGGGATAAAATTTAAGGTATTAGGGTTTTCTGTGCCCTAGATCGGACGACTGTGGAGACTTTAATCAGACGATGTTGATTTTCCCACGTGTCAAAGATTTTGAGCAGACAATGGTGTCTCTCTTGCAATTTTTTTTTTTTTTTTTTTCTTGAGGAAGTTTCTAATTTCTTTTAAGATGATAAAATAAATAAGTTTTGTTTAATATAATGTGAATTAGATTTTAATTTCTTGTTACACATATTATAATTTAAATAAATTTTTAATTAATTCTAAATTTTAATTTCAATATAAATTTTAATTTTTTATTTTAATATAATAGAATATTGATTAACTTCCAATAGTTGTTGTTTAAGTTACTTTTAATTTTTTATGAGTTAAGAATTATAATTATATATAAGTATATATAATACTTTTATGCTCTCAATTATAAGAATCCATTATTTTGTTGACTAAACAAAAAA